TAATTATCAGGGAAATGCAAGTAAGAACCACAATGAGATATCACCTCACACGTGTTAGAATAGCTATTATCAAAAAGAAAAAGAACAAGTGTTGGAGAGGATGTGGAGAAAGGGAACCTTTGTGCACTGTTGGTAGGAACATAAATTGGTGCAGCCGTGTGGAAAACAACATGGAGGTTCCTATAAAGTAGAATTACCATGTGATCCAGCTATGCCACTTCTAGGTGTTTATCTGAAGAAAATGAAAACACTAATTCAAAAAGATATAGGCACCCCTATATTCATTGCAGCATTATTTACAATAGCTGAGAATGGAAACAACCTAAGTGACCATGGATGGATGAATGGATAAAGAAGTTATGGTCTATGTATTATATATATACACACAATACTATTCAGCCATAAAAGCGAAGGAAATCTTGCCATGTGCAACAACATGAGTGGACCGTGAAGGTATTATGCTAAGTGAAATAAGACAGAGAAAACCAAATGCCATGCATGGGATCTCACTTATATTTGGAATCTAAAAAACAAAAAAGAAACAAAACAAAACTCATAGATACAGAGAATGGATTGGTGCTTATAGAGGGGGGAAGAGGGTCTGGGGGCAAAAGGGCTGAAGGGGGTCAATTGTATGGTGACAGATGGTAACTAGATTAATTGTGGTGATCACTGTGTAGTATATACAAAGACTGAATTATTATGCTGTACACCTGAAATTAATATAATGTTATATACCCATCTTACATCAGTAAGTACATATATTAATTCATAAGGTTTAAAATTACATGTGCTTTCTCTTAGATTAATACTATCCTCTTTTTCTTTGTCAAGTAGAAGTAAATTGCTTGGTTCAGTACAATCCAGGCCCATCTGAGTGGTGTTTTTTGTTGTTTTTCAAAAATGGGAGAGATTGAGAGTTGGAAAAGCATTCATCATCAGGATAATTTGTTTTAAAAGCATCCAGGCTTCCATATAGCCACCAGATAAATTACCCACTATTCAAGAGAAGGAAAGCACAATTAGTTTCACATTATAGTAAACCAATCAGCTCCTTAAATGGCTGTCATTCTAGAGAAAAAGGCAACAAGAATGTCATAGTTGTCCCCTTTCTCCCATGCCTTTAGAAGCAAAAGCAATACTTTTCTCAGACTAGAAGATCTGTGGAAAGCATAGTGAATATATTTTGCCATTGCTTTTAGATAAGGAGAATTATATTCATTACTTGTATCCATATGGTTAATAACACCTACTTCACAATGCGAAGTAATGAAGCTTTTGTTTTGTACTAGGGACAGGCAAATGCTTTGAAGCCTTATGGCAAGGAAGTAAGACTTCAATAAATTATTTTCAAACCTCCTTTTCTTCTTCCCAGGATAATTATTTTTATGTAATCATTTACAATCAAGGAGCGAAGGAAGGGGTAAAGAGAAATCACACCAGGGGTAATGGAATATGCACGAAAAATCTGCAGGCTGTTTTTCTCTTCTTAAAAAGAATACTTGCTAAACAACCATTCATTACCTCTTTTGAGGCAAGCAGGATGGTATAAGAATATACTAAATTAATGTCATCTGCCATGACTTAACCTGAAGAAACACAATAATTAGTAAACTTCACGTACGCAGCTGCTGCAGCAGTTTAAGCATGTTCCCTCTGTAATAAGAGCGATGGATGAAGGCCTCGCAGGAAAGAGGGTGACTGCAATCATATAGAGAGCTTTAGTTCCTCCCTGCACACAAGTGTTATCAGTTCAAACCCAAACCTACTATGCCTTATGTTCACATGTCAGCATCATTCTAGAGGTTAAATTTGGTTGTATTTATTAAGGTTTTCATTTTCATATTGGTAATGGATCCTTTTTGGTACCTGCATACAGGGAATGTATAAAACTTCCTTTATACCACACAACACAGGGCAGGCCTGCTTTGAACCATGAGTCCAAAACTTTGCGCTCTAAAGACTAATTGTACATGAACACTTCTTGCAAGAAGAACACATTTGAATAACACTGTCATTTTTAGAAATACATGTATGTGTGACCAGTAAGCATATGGTACAGACTGGGTGAGGAAGAAGAGCGGGAGGAGGAAAGGAAAGAGGGAGTGGGGGAGAGAAGCAAAAGTGAGAGAGAGAAAGAGAGAATATCACAGTATCAAAATGTACTTAGGCCTTAAGGTTTCTTTCCTAAGGATATAAGTTTGAAATGCTTTTGACTGAAAAATAGAATACTTAGGGTATTTATTTTGTTTATTTCTAGTTGTTTGGTAAAAGTTTCAAAATCAAAATTATTAGGTATTTATTATTAAGATTAAATATATGAGCTTACAAAGTACCAAGAGCCCTCTGAAAAATGGTTGCCCCAGATTGCTTGATTAAATAGCATTCAAACATTGTAAATGGCATTTGTGAATTTAATATATTTTATGTTGTATTTTTAAGTAATTCATTTGTCTAGTTCAACAAAATCTTTCTGAGAATGAAATAATTCTTAAAATCTAATGAATTCAATATATCAACATGGTCTAAGGTTTTCTTAGACTTTCCAATATCATGCACAAACATAAGATTTGGTCATAAGATTTCAAATCATAAAACTGAAATCCTGTGTCTCAATCTACTTTTTAATGGCATTTTCTAAACTGAAATCACAGGACTGTCAGACTAATAGGCTAAATTCTTTCATGTAACAGATATTTACAATAACAAATGTTCAAATACTTTTTCTTAACACAAAAATATTAGTAGTATGATTTCTAGTCCTGCAAATACTTTACATTTAATTCTATATCTTCCTAGAATTAAGATATGTACTCACTTAAGGAAGAAGACATCCCAGTTAACTGGGATGTTATACATGTTATACAATATACATTACTCAGATGTATATGTTTTTGAGTGTGACAAATGCATATCCATGAAGGAAGAAAAAGTACCATTCTAGATCACTGATACCTTTCAACCAGGGATCTTGGCCAGGTGACATCTGGAGCTACAGACATCCAGAGTGATTCTCACCACCCCAACTGCCATACTCAGCCTTTTTCATAATCTCTATTTCATGGGCTTCAAAACTCTAATAAATGGTCATGTTACATAATCATCCGGCTATTCACAGGAGTCAGCAACTGTTGAGAAAAGCAGCCTGTGCATCCACGCGGTCTTTCAACACCCACTTAGTCACATAAGAACAGGCCTTGGGCCTGCAATACTTCCTTACCAAGAAACAAAGAGCTCACAAAGCCTGTCAGTTTCATCACCTATATGGAAATACCTTTCCGAGTTCAGACTAGAGGAGTGTCTCCTTGTTCCGCTTAAATGTGTATGTCAATGATTGTCAGACACACCTTTCAGTATGTCAGCCTCCATGGGGCCGAGTTCAGGGTTCTACTACTGCAGCAAGAGAGGGTTATGCATAGGCCAATTGCCCTGCATCTGCTGCCTCGGGGACTCACTAGCCATGAGGGACCAAGGCACACAACTGGAGCTGTAAAGCACTGTTTTCATCCAATGCTGACTGTGCTTTGTTTTCCTTGACAACTCTAATACCAAAATACAATGGACAAAAACATTTGGAGACCTTTCCTGGGATTGATAACCGGTGGTAGATGGTACTTGCTCCCCCCAAGACCGTAACTGATGCACGATGTTTTTCTCAACAGCAGTTCTCATCCAAATGGATACCTCGATTTGCCTGTCTTTGATTCTTAAAACATATACACAGATTTTCCATCTAACTGAAAAAACTTTGAAGTTGATGAGATAATAGGTGTAATTATATTTTCTATCTAAATATAAACCTTGTGCTTGATAGCATCCTAAGATAAATACATGCTTTTTCCCACTACTGAAATCTTGTGTTATTTTATCCTCATATCATATTCAATTTTTTTTTTAAGATTTTATTTCTTTATTTTGACAGAGAGAGAGAGCGAGAGAGGGAACAAAAGCAGGGGGAGTGGGAGAGGGAGAAGCAGGCTTCCCACGGAGCAGGGAGCCCGATGTAGGGCTCACTCGCAGGACCCCGGGATCATGACTCGAGCGGAAGGCAGACACTTAATGACTGAGCCACCCAGGGGCCCCTCATATTCAATTTCTTAATTCAATGATTCTACCAATTGAATTTTGGCTCTTGTATGGTGTTTCTGGCTTGTGGTTGCATCATGAGTCTTTCACTGCCCTTCTTGCATCTAGCTTTTTCTTTTTAAGATTTTAATTATTTATTTTAGAAAGAGAGAGCACATGCATGCACGCAGGAGGGGGGGACAGAGAAAGCAGACTCCCCCCCCCGAAGCAGGGAGCCCAACGTGGGGCTCAATCCCAGGACCCTGAGATCATGACGTGAGTCAAAAACAGCTGCTTACCCAACTGAGCCACCCAGGTGCCCCACATCTAGCTTTCTTCTTTTACAACCAAGGTTATGTAACTCAGACCAGAGATCTGTATTGCTTTTTCTCCTATCCCAGGTGCATAAGGCTTAGGACTGCACTGTTCAAAGCCTCTTTTTTTTTTATTGTTTTGTTAATCACCATAAATTACATCATTAGTTTTGATGTAGTGTTCCATGATTCATTGTTTGCGTATAACACCCAGTGCTCCAAAGTCTCTTACAGGGGAAAAGTATCCCATGGTCACTCTTCTGAGGAGCCACAAAAATTCAAAAGCAACCCAAATCTCTTTCCCTAGCCTAGAACTTCAAGTGTTTCCCCTCTGACTTGGTCAAGAACTCTGGTTGAAAGATAATTGCTGATCTCAGGCAAGAAGTGGACTAGATTTTTAAAAATTATAGCATGCCGTAAGTGTAAATAATTTTAGCATTGTCTACAACAAAGGATCTAAGAACCTAAAGTTCTCAAAAGTATTTTTCCTAAAGATCTAGTTCTTCTTTAATCATCTCCTGATTCAGCCTGAAAATCTAACTTAAATCCAACTTACATATATGCATGCTATCAACAATGAAACCTAAATCTCAATATTTAAAATTTTTTTTCTTTTCTCAGTTTCTACAGATAAAGTGATCTGAAGTAATGAATGATGCCACAAAAGCAGAAAAGAGAAACTGTGACAACACCCAGAAATGTGAAAGGAGGTTTCTTACTGGATAGCAGCATCTTTGGTTCAATTTATTAAAAAAAAATACCCAAATAAATAAAATGGACAGTATTGTTCAATTTTAGAAATTCCATTTCTTCTATGTTCTAAGCTATATAATTGTCAGGTTTTATGGTTTAGATTGTAAATGTGTTTTCCCCTTTGTTAATTATGTTGTGTTTTTTTAAGTCTTAAAAGTCTTAAAATGTGAAGGACATTTATGAACGGTAAGGGAGACACTGTATACAAATGTATATTTGTAAAAGCTATTTTTATGATTAGCATGTTTTACTGGTGATCATATATAAAGTCAGGTGATATTGCAATTCTATGTTTAAAGCTTATTTCCAACAATGTCATGTAAGAAAAGATACATCGTAAGCTAGTTTTTATAATTTATTTTTAATTTATAGTTTAAAGTACTTCAGATCATAATGATAAAATACTTGAAAATGTTATATTTCTGCCCTCCATAAGCACCATTTTTATTAATAAAGAATGCAAATATTTCAGATGTGATTCCATAGCTAAAGGACTCTGTTGCTTTGACCTGTGATTAAAGTGAGCATTCTCTACTCAACTGAAACAATCCAATTATTACCCAATACTTCAGTCTGGGTAGGAGATCCCACAGACAGGTTTTAGTGCCAATACAGGTGAAAACTATATTGGCAAGGAAAAGATTGTCTTGTCTTTGGTTCCAAAAGTTTAAATAGTGCGTATATCACTTCATTTCATCTCCTATTACTAGGAACACTCCATTCCCAAGCATTGCAAGTGTTTTCCAGATGCTCTTTGCTGTTGTCTTGTGCTGTGGAAATGGAAGAAACCATCTTCACAGACTGTAGGAGAACTCAGCATATAATTTCTTAATAAATACTGTTTCTTTTAAAACAAAGTTGGTGTGTATCTTTCCTTTGAGGGTGCACTGAGTTTTAATATTCAGTTTGACTCTTTATGTCCTTGTAATGCCATAAAATTAGTGTGATAATGAAAGTAGCATAACTTTACTAAAATGTACATTATATGTTTTATATGCCCACACTTCATGGAGTGACCTGTATTCTGGAACACATTAATTCGCTATGTAACACAAAGCAAGACGGCCCTCAATTCTTGACAGAAGTCACATTCTGGTATACACTTCTAAAAGGCGTATTTTTTTCATTCAAATGTAGAATTTTAAGGAAATATTTCAGGACAGAAAGCAAAACTACCTCGACAGAGGCATTTTTGCTCTGTCAGACAAGTCTGCTGCTAATGGCTACAAGCCCCTCATTAAGAGCAGAGAGACACATGTAATGTCATCAAGAACACTTAGTGGAATTAAGGCCTCCTTTTTTCAAAGAAACTAAAGAGAATCTAAAATCACCTTGGTATGTTTTCTTATTTTTCTGTTTTAATTTCTTTATGGCAATTCATCCTCTTTCTTTATGTGTATCAAATAAAAGCTAATGAAAAATTATACAATTCCACCCAGCAAAGGTTACCTAAAACTAAAATTGTGAAAGCAAAAAATAAAAATTTGTACACTAGGACCTAGGGGCTGGATCAGGAATGTACTTGCCTTTCGAAGAAATGTGAAAATCACAATGTGGGATACTATTTTTCATGGCCATGATGAGTTATTGGAGAATTTGCAACTGCTGCGATTGAATTGTGAAGCTGAAAAGAACCTGTATACGGTTCTACAGGGGAATAAAATCAGCAGAGTGATTTCTTGGTTTGCTGCCAAGTAAATACATTTGCCTGGGATAGTCTGATGCTCCAGAAAGAAAATGTTACAGGTACAGTGTATTAGGAAAATGCACATGTGGATATTTTTCCCAACCTTCCATTTATCTGTCCTTAATATTCAATAAACAATGTAGAATTTATAGCAGACATTATCATAAATTAAGAGTATCATACTTTCCCAGATGTTCATTAACTATTCTCAAAGTAAAATGAATAATTAAAATGTATAATTCTTTGTTATTGGACTTAAGTTTCTCCACATAGGCCTGGCAGTATGAAATCATGCATCTTTCCCTTAACTCATTACCCGATCCTGGCTTCAGATTTTATTTTAATGACAAAGATGGAATAAAATATATACCAGATCAGCAAACTATAGATTATATGGGATTATAATCCCTATGGATTTAGTGTAATAATTTAAAAGGGAACTTTTAAGAGATGACAAAGTTAGTGTAGACTTCTAACTCCAAATAACATCAGTTCCATTAAAAAGGAAATGCCAAGGGAAAGAAAAGAGTTATTACTCACTGAATTCAGCTCAATAAAAGTGTGGGAAAATAGGCCCACTGCTTGTGAAGTTAGATCAACTAGTCACTGGTGACAATGTGAAAGGGAAAGTACACATTTTGCTTCCATCTTTTAAACAAAAATTCAAAGCAGAAACGCATGACAAAATAAATTGACATAGAAATGAAGCAGGAGATAAATAAGAAGGAAACTATTGTATATGGGTTAAAGTGCAGAGAACAGAAATTACAAATGCAAATACCCATAGAGGCCTGATAAATATAAATGAAAGAAATAGTCGTGAAGCCGCTTAGTAGACATTAAATACAACCGTGCCGATGAGGATAGGCCCTCTCCCAGTTCCAACTGGCTGCCTGATCCAGAAATGTGGCCAATCCAAAAGATTGGCCAGGTATCCTGATTTTTCAAGAGAAGGTAGACATTGAGAATTTTAAATGAAATAGAATTTTAAATAGAATTTTAATTCTATATTTGTTTTGTTTTATTTTAATATGAATCTGAAAGTGAAGGAAACCATATCTGTGATTTATATCCAGGATTTAGTAGTTGTATAAGTTAAAAAAAATAAACTCGCAATAATAAAAAACAACAAATTCAGGATTACGTATGGTGAGAAAAAGAAGGGAGAATAGAATGGAAGTATTGAATAACATGTACTATTAAATCTATTAGGAAATCTATTTGGATCAAATATTTGGAATCAAACATATCAAATGTTAAGGTGTGATAAAAGTCAGTTCTAAATTACACTGGTGCTCATTATATTTTTTCTATGTTGTGTTTGGAGGCTTCTAATATTTGCAGAGGAGGAATTTATAAGTGAATTTTCTATTTGTTATTGAAAAGGCTTCCTATCAGCCCTTGAGATATTTAGAGTCACTCTAGGAATCTAATTATGATTCATGCAAGAATTTGGGGTACCTGAGCATGCCAAATAGTCCCCATGTTTATCTGGTTGCATCTGTAAGAATAAAGACTACACCTTCTCTACTTTTATATCCTGCACATATGTTACCTTGTACATAACAGGTTATTTCTCCATAAATGTTTGGAGAATTAAAAGAAACAGGGTGTGTTCTAGGTTTTTAACCTTATTATAAAAAGTTTCAAAGCTATAATTTGCTAAGCAACTACTATGTGCCGAGCTAACAGCTTTCTATGCATTATCACTGATGCACACAGGAAAACTGCAGAATAGGTACTGTTAGCTCCAGTTTCCAAGTAAAGAGCAGATCACTTATTCATTCAACCATTTTTTATAAAGTACCAACTCCATGCCAAGCATTGTTACTGGCAATTTGGGATCCCGCTATAAATAATAAAGACTAAAATTCCTGTCTTTGAAAAGCTGATACTCGGGCGCCTGGGTGGTTCAGATGGTTAAGCGTCTGCCTTTGGCTCAAGTCATGATCCCAGGGTCCTGGGATCGAGTCCCGCATTGGGCTTCCTGCTCAGCAGAGAGCCTGCTTCTCCCTCTGCCTCTCTCTCTCTCTGTCTCTTATGAATAAATAAATAAAATCTTCAAAAAAAAAAAGAAAAGCTAATACTTTTCTAGGGGATGACACAAAATAAGACCATTAACAAGCAAATGTAAAGTATTGCAGAAGATGATGAACACAGAGGAAAAAGCAAAGCAGGGAAGCAAAGAGGGAGGTGAGGTTTTACATGGGTATTTTAAATAGGCTGATCAGGGAAGATTCCTTGGTAATATGACCTTTAGGCAAAGAAGTGGAGTAGGTAAGGGGGTGAGCCATGTGGCCATTTATGGGAAAAGTGTCCTGAGCAGGGGGGACAGCAAGTAAATCCCCTGAGGTGGGAATGTACTTGGTGTGTTCAGGAGCAACAAGGAGGGCCGTGTAGCTGGATTGGAATAAATTAGGAAAAGAAAAATGAAGCCACAGAAAAGCCGAGATTTCAGATCACAGAGCCTTAGAGGTGATTCAGAGTTCACTGGTTTTACACTGCGTTAGATGGGAAAACATCAGAAGATTGTGACCACAGGAATGATAGGATCTAACTCAAAGATTAAAAGAATAATTTGGGCTGTTAAGTCCTGAATAGACTATAAAGAAGAAGAGAATCCAAAAATCCCTGCATTCTAGGTTGAGAAACAACTATGTGAGTTTGGTCTGAGACTAGACTGAGAGAAAACTGCTCATTCACTCATCAAATATTTGTTGAGCCCTTACTGTATTCCACATGTGTATTTGGCAATGGGCATGCAGTAGTGAACACAGACACATTTTCTTTTCTCAAGGCCCTTAGTCTACTAAACAATGTTAGGAAATAGTTGAATAAAGATGGTAAGAATAAAATAGTTTAAAAAGATATTGCAAATTAAAAAGAACACCCCCTGCCTAAGTCCTTTTCCTTACATTTTATGAAACGACTATGACTCGCATATAAAAACTTGACCAAAAAAATAACACCCAAAAGCTAAATACATATAACTCATTAATACCGATGTAAAAATCTGAAATAAATCAAAATACTAGCTAAAGCTTTCAACAAAATATAAAATATCCCCCATGACCAAGTAGGGCTTTATGACAAAAATTTACATACACACATGTACACACTTGTGCATGTACACACATGCAAATACACACATACAAATATGCATCTTAAAACAACATTCTACTTCATACTGAAAATATATTACAATTGAACTTGCATTTAAAATAAGAATACTATTTAAATTAATATTTCTAATTCATTCTGTAAGAGAGAGCTAGGACAAAAAAGAAACAGTAATGAATAGTGTGACCGTTAGAAAGGATGAGAACGTTTTTTTGTGTGGATAGAATGTGATTATCAACCTCCATGGCCCAAGAAAATAGGAAGAAACCCCACCAGGCTTAATTATGAGTTTTAAAAAAATTTAAATATCCAACAAAAGTAAAATCTTACATAGCTTTGTAATTCACAAATAATAACTGTGGAAATATAATGAAAAACTTCCATTTTATAATGTTAAAATACTTGGGAATAAAATTGATAAGAAATGTAGAAAGCTACATAGCACACACCACAAAATTTTATTCATAAAATAAAAGGTATGAATATATGAATAGATATAAGATGTTCCTAGATGGTAAGTTTGAAGTTATAAATAAACCAATTCATTATACATTAATTCAATATACATTTTTCCCTAAGCCTCAAAGATCTCATCCACTTCTTTGGCTTTTAAGGACATTTTATATGCTAATGAGTCCCAAGAGTATACTTACAGTCCTGACCTCTCTTTTTATACAGCCAACTTCTCATTGGACATTTTCACTTGGATGTCTCATGAATCAAAACTTAACTCTTGTTTTTCCACCTAAAATGGATCCTACTTCTAGAGTACCATCTCTGTAAGTGGCATGTCTGTCTACTCATTTATGTAACCAAGAAACCGAGGAATCATCTTAGATTTCTTCTCGTTCACCTCCCATCTGCTGTCTACCACATTTTATTGCATTTTGTATTTCTACCTCTAAATATACCCTGAATCCCTCTACTTTTCTCAGGTCCATCTCCAATATTCCAGAAACCATCTCTTAATTTATCTCCTTGCTTCTATTCTACCTGCAGCTGCAATCTAAATGTCATCTTTTAAAAATGTCAATGTAAATTGTTACACC